GACATCTAAATATGTAGCCAATGCAAGATATGCATTTCATTCCAGCAGGGTGCATGCAGAGCAGCAGAGACAGTCTCTCTGGGAATGACCGCACGTCACTCTGCCTGTTCAGGTGAGCAGCACTGAGACAGGCTCCTATAACATGACAATAAAGGGTGTGCTAGTGACTCCTTAATTTTACCTGTACAAGCCGAGCCATTTGCAGTTACCTATTTGAAAGTAGCCATTCATTGATTGTGAAATACACGCAAAATACCTAATTAGTCTTCAGTGCAGGTTGTTTATTAGAAAAACCCCTTTGCCTTCGTTGAAATTACAGTTTAGATTTCAATAGAGAACAAAGCTTGCAACCTACTTCTGTCAATAATGTTCACTTCCTTCAAATCAACTTTTCTAATAATGACATCAATTGCTAATTCGTTTTCCATCTGGGTGCTTGTATAACTGCATAGGACACTCAAGAAATCACCCTTTTTGAGAGATGTTTGAGGCTTTTGTGGAGATGGTAGTGACACAAATGTGTCTGCTTTTTTGAGATGTGAATCCAGGATAAAGTTTTTATTTCATCCACAGATACCATCTGAGTCTCTTTGTATTCTACTGACCTTAGAACCTCTACCCTCGGAGCAGGCTGCCCTTCATGGTGGAGGTGGTACTAGTGCCGCTCCCTGTACCTGTGCTGGAGCACTGCTGACCTTACGAGGGCTGGCTGCAGGGACATGCGGTCCCAATAAAATGCTGATGCACAGAGACCACTCTTTTTTATGTAGTTATATGTGGGGCTCTAATTTCAACTAGATGTTTTGTGTCCAGCAGAGAAGTCACAAACTCTTACTGTCCACATGTGCCACTTAAGTGCTGGGAACAGATCAAGACACTGGGTACAATGAGCAGATTTTTAGTTGTTTGTATTTCAAGTGTTTTGTCACTTCTGTTAATATTTAGTAGCTTCCTTCAAAAGCCTCTCTATGGTGAATAGTACCTTATTTGGGTTTGTGCGTCCTCAAAAGATACAATGTTAGTCCTTGGAAGGTTTATTTTTTATTTCATGTTCTTAAATAATTGAAAACATCAAAGTCTTTTTATGGCTTTTCATTTTGTTGGCAGTCAAAATACCACAGGAAGGCCAAAACTTGTATTGTTTTGGCTCTGCAGACATCTTCTTGAAAGATTTGAGCAGAATGTGTAAACACCATTTCCAGCTTTTTACATTGGTCACTAAAGCATTCTCAAGTGCAGGTCAGGAATCTAGTCCTGTAAGACAAAGCCCATAATTTTATAATGGAATGATGGTCAGGGGCTTCTGTTGAAATGTTTTAATAACTTTGCAATTCACAGCAGTAAATTGTTTCTCTTGCATTTGAGTCAGAGTGGTTGATGATGTGTATGTAGCCGGTCCACTGACATATAAAAGAATGCATTCACTTTAGACAGCATCTACCTCCTAGTTGAGACAGTGTAGTTATTTAAACAAAAGTGTAGTTCTTCAGAAATTGTAACGTGACTGCAGCAGTTTCCTTACCAGGCCCTGTTCATTGTGCATATTGATGGCTTTCTACATTCTACAGTTTCTCACACTGCAAAGAATAATATGCAAAATTTGTGAAAATTTTGGGGAATATAGTTTTAGAGGAAAGGGGAGCATGTGCTGATACAAAAGACTCCTTAAGTTCTCTCATTAATTTTAAACTTTTTAAAGGAAAAAACTATGAGAGTGGAATATTGTCTCACAATTTTCTTAAGCATAAAAAAGCACCAGACTTTAAAGGTTTTTTTCCTAGTTTTATTGTTGTTGTTTGAATTTTTTGTTTTGTTTTCAGTTGGGGTTTTATTTAGTCCTTTAATCACCTGGAAGTCCTTCAGTGAGGTCTAAACATATTCAAGGAGTAATTTAGGGGAAAAGCTAATTATCTGATTACCCACCTTACTGTCTTGGCAGGGCCGGGCTAGTGCCCTGTCATAGATGCAGAGCTGGAAATGATGAATGATGTAACAAATAAATCACTTTATCTAAATAAGTTTTGGAAAGAGCTTATGATAAAGATCCTGGTTTTTGCAGACTTTGAGAAAAAAAAAAGAGTATGTCCCATAAAAGACCCCAGGTAACTGTATGGATTCTCTTCCACATTTTTCCCATTTTATTTGAATTTACTGTTGTCTTCAGGAAGTGTTAAATTTTAAAAGTTTGTACTGCATAATACATAGACATAGCAAAGCTGTAAACTTGAAATACTGGTTTAAAATACTAATGTATTCATATAAATACTGTCTTCACCAGTAAAATATTTTTTCAAAACAGGTGCATTTTGACGTGCATTTCAGTAGTAACAGGGGCAGGTTAGGCAGTTTATCTTCTCTCTGTGCCTATCCCTGAGATACCTCATGCATTGTAGTATGCAAGTGCTGACCAGAGTGGAAAAAACAGAACTGCTTTTGGACAAAAAAAAAGGAAAAGTTTTTCTCATCTTGTTTTTATGTTGAACCAATTCCCCACTCCTGTTCATTTGTGCTGAAAAGACATCAGGGACACGAGAAGTAGCAGCAATAAGTGACCTGTTGTAGGATCTGCTTAAAGTTGCTGATTGTTTGAACAAAGTCTGATTATAATTGAAAAAATGTAGTTTTGTCCTTTGAAAGAGCTTTAGAACATGAGTACAGAAAAGTATTTAGAAGAACAGACACAGCAAAAACTATTGTATGTGAGTAGAATGTCTTCCTAAGCATACTTGTTTTGACTTTTATGCTGGCCTCCACCATGATAAAATATTCTCATGTTTAGGACAATTAAGAATTTAATTCCCTTGTCTAAAAAATCTAGATAAGAGTTGGGTATTGTTATTTGTATGATGATGTTTTCTACCCATCACTCGGCTGAACTGGTAACGCCGAGGTCATTAAAGCTAAGACGATCCCAGCTTGGAGGCAGAAACTGAAATCCTTTATTGGACTTACAAGTTCATATTTAAAGGGTTTAAGGACTACATATTCAACAAGGGGTTGTAACTATTACAATTATTACAATTATTACAATTAGCGGGTTTCAGGGGATGACATAAGGGAAAAACCCAGGTTAACAAATTTTGGGGTCTTAACACATACATCATAGGGGAAAACCCATTTTATCTTGGGGGAAATTACAGGGAAAAGAAGGTATTCCGGTTTACAGAATGCAAGGATTCAGGGAACAAAAAGGAAAGAGATAAAGCACAATAGGTCTTTTGCACAGGTTTGATGAGATCAGGGTGCAGACTCTCTGGCTTGGGCAGGGTACTCCACACTGATGATATCTCATTTACTTCTTAAACTGAGGTTCTTTCCCCAACTTTCATAGCCCATGGCTTTTTGCAAAGACCACTCAAATCTCTCTCTGCAGATATTATATTTTGGGATCCAACAGGTAATTTAGCATTTCTAGTGGGTTTTTAGAGAAGAAAGGCAGACCAGAAAGATTAAATGTTTGGCAGGATCGTGTAGCTGCACTTAACTTATTAGCAGAATTTAAATGTACAATTTCAGAAAAGAGGTCAAAAGAAAAGTGTGATTGATGCAGGCAAAAATAATCTGTGGAAAATTGTCAGAAAATTATATTCATTTTACATAAGTTATTCTCATTAAAGGTGAAAAGAGAGTTAATTTCTTGGCTTTTAAGTTCTTTGAGGTTCTGCGTAAAATGTAAAACCTCACTTCAGAGAGATTCCCTGAAATCTCATTGAAATCTCATTCTCTATCTGATGAAAAGTGTGTTTTGGAACCTCCTACTTTTAAAATGTTCTGTGAAAGAGGAACCACTGTGCTGAGGTCACTTTAGTCTTAACTTTCCTTTAATCTAAGATTTGACATTACCTAAAATTTAAAGTCTCTTTTGAGAAGAAATATTTAAATCTGAAACTATTGAATTGGAATGCTTCAAGCGTGGTAGAAGTTTCCCATCCCTTTTTGCTTTGAGGAAAAAAAGAAAACCGATCAACCAGACACTAACAACAAAGTATAACCAACACACAAAAAACCCCAAACAAACCCAAACCTCCAGAGCCAGCAACCCTATATTTGTCAATTTTTCAGTCTGAGCCACTGTTTCAGTTTCAGTTGTAGCACTTCCTGGGAATTTGAAGGAACCATGAAAGAATGGTTCTGTTAAAAAATTCTTTCTAGAAGGCCGACAAAGGATTAATTGGGAGAAAACAAGATTGCTGAAAATTGCTTATAAAATAACTTTTTCAGTGACAGTCCATTGGCTTTTGCCTCAGTGCCATATAGCCACTTGGCCTGGAACCCAGCTCTCTCACTGTTCTGCCCATCATCAGTGTTTAAAAATGCAGCATAAAATGCAGCTTTGGGATCAGATCCTCAAACGAGATTTGTAGCACTCTGGCCTTCTTGTTTAGTGAAATAGAAACAAGGAATTAACAGGAATAGTTGCTGTTGATGGGGTGGTGGATGTTTCCTGTTCTGCACATGTTCTTAACCCAAGCTGAGCACGTACCTCATGTTAGAGGTGTTGGCTTTGTCAGCTGCCTGCCAATGTGTGCGCCAGGCTGCTGGCCAGACAGACTGCCTGCTCACGTGTGGTGCTCTTCCCCATCATTAACCTTTGTTGGTAATTTTGGCATGTGGATTTTGTGTGTGAAGTCCTGCATCAATGAAACAAGAAGGAAAATAAAATAGCATTTGAACAATATTGTTTTCAGTAAAATGCCGATGCATAGAGCTGACATTATTAAACAACATTGAATAAAAGATCTGAATCCTGAAGTCAGCTGAAAATCAAAAATCCGCAAAATAGCTGCAGATGAAGTATCTGAGCAAAAAACATTGCAGTGGTTGCAAGAGAAGCTCTTGCTGGATGGCGATGGTGTGCAACAGGCTCTTTTGTAACTGTTTTAAAAGTATGCTTTAGAGAGCAGCAAAACTGTATTTTACATAAGGAACACTCAATTTTCACTACTTCAATGCTTCAATGTCTGATTATCTTTTGTGTTTTCTTTTTATTTTTTTTTAAGATCTTGATGGTTATGGCAAAATCTTTCTTCAGCTTATGGTATAATGGACTGCCAGTTGGATGATTTACAGTCGTCTGAAACATGATATATGCTTCTCCTCTTCCGAGTCCATGGTGAGTTTTGTTTATGTACATACCTATTAAGTACTTCAGAGAAGGAAGTAAATGTTTTTTAGTGACCATGTTAAATGTTGTTCCATTGTTTTTGTGTGGAATATCCTAGAGTTGTCAATTTACTGAATACATAAACCCCACTCTTTTTTGTAAGCTGTTTGAGAATGTTTTAAAAACTTAAGTTCAAAAAATAACCATACAGAACTTTTCTCTCTTTTGGAGAATTTTAGAGCTGTGCAAAGATCCCAATACACAGTTTGAAATGTTATGTTTCCCTTCAGCTTCAAAGCATCTTCACCTTCATGTGGTGTGTCTTAGTTCAAATTAAATTCCAAACAATTGTTCTTTTTTAGTAAGGCACATACCACAATGTATTTAAGAACTAAACAACTGTAACCATGTTACAAATATAATACAAAACACAGGGAAAAAATAATTGGAGAAAATATTTGGAAAGAGTTTTTCAGTTTTATTTTTGCACTGCATCTCTGTTTTGTACCTACAATTAATCTGATTTTAGTATCTGTGAACAATGTTAAATATTGTATAAACAATAATATTAAAAGCAAGGCTGCTCATATTATAACTGAACTATCACTTATGATTTACAGTGTCCAGACACACAATAATGAAATCCAAAGCACTAGTTGTTCGTTTGGCTAAACGCATTGACAGACCAAATCTGGATCTTAAAATGTTCCACTGGCTACTCTTTACTACACCAGAAATAACAGCCCTCTCCAAAGAGGGCAGAGTCTCCTCTCCAAATATCAGGTTAAACATTTGAAGTTAAAATCCCCATGGTTTCACTCTTCTCCTTTATAAGTGTTTAGATTTGGCTCTTACACTAAAATTTGTTTGTGAATGATACTGAATAGTTGCGTTAGTCAAAACCGTTTTTATTATATGCTTAAGTACTGCAATGAACAAAGATCGAAGCAATGAAGTTTCTAGAGGTGTGTTTGCACTTACATAATAAAAAGGTGTGTTTAAATATTCCATATAAATGGATAGAGATGTTTACCAGCAAAACTGGTTACTGTTATTTTTGATGAAAATTGGTATTTACAGAATGAAATGGACAGTGTGCCCTCTCCTGTGGAGGGCATCTTCTATCTGCTTCTCTTTTACCAATTTCAGCTGGCTTTGCATTTCAAATTATATGTCTCCCAGGTACTAACCATAAAACTTTGAAACTAGGGAACCAGATAAATAGCAAAGAAAGCATTGTCTCACTTGTTTCCACCTGCAAATTATTGAGGAAAAAACCCTGATATTGTTTGATAGGTTATCTAGCACTGTTGATTCTGCAAGGCATTTCCCTGGGTATTCATTGAGTTCTACATTGTTCCCTAACCAGGCTTTTTTTTTGCCAAATTAGCAGATTTGCTCCAAAGACTTGACCTTTTCTTTTCTCTTCTTCCTTATCAGCAAGTGCCATACATTTCTGAGCCTGTTTTTTGCATCCTGAATGTGCATTGATTCATGATGGAATAAGGGCTTTGTGACAGGTCTGGTGGAAGAACTAACTTCTTTAGACAGAGAAAACTGTCTATCCCATATGTGTAAATACTGCAGGATTTTGTCTCCTTTTGCAGAGGTCTGCTGCACCACATTTTACTGCATTTATTCCCTGTGTTTGCCACCAGGAGAACAAAATCCAGTGCAGTCCACAGCAATTCCTTTGTGGCCAAACCAAAAAAAAAAAAATGTGATGAGATCTTAAATTGTTTAAGAAATGTCATTTTATTTTGGCCTAAAAATTAAAAAAACACTGCTTTGTCAGTCTTATTTGTTAAAATTGTTCCTCTTTGCAGTCAAAATATTCAAGCAAAGAGGATGTGCCTGTGAAAGGGCATCCTCATCCCCTCCCGTTACTATTGTATCCACTCAAGGCTCATGTAGGCTCTCAAATGTCCAGTGAGTTACTCCACTGCTTCTTTTTAACCAGATAAAGTTAAGGTGGACATCAGGAAGTAAACTGAATGACACCACACATTATGTGAAACCTAGAGGATTTTCTACCTTTACTACGGTAGATTGCAGAATAATATCTAGAGGTTAAGTAAGCTTTCCTCATCAAATTCAAACCCTACAAGAGAAGAAACAATATTCAAAACAGTAATATACATTTAGAATCTGTAAAATAATAATGATAATATTATTTCTAGTTTATTCCCAAATCCTATACCCCATTAGATAGACCAGGAAAACCTACTACAGAAAGGTATACTAAGATGATGAAATGGACATGGTGGTATTTGAGAACTTATGTGAAAAGGCAATAGAATCTCTACAAGGAAGGAATACTGGAAATGCAAAATTGTACATCAGCTGGTAGTTGAGTGCCTTCTGTATTTTCATTCTACTTCATATAGACAACCACTTGAAGAAACAACTCAGCAACTGTGAAGTAAGAACACAGTTCTATTACCTGACTTTAAAAAAAAAAAGGTAAAAAAGGAAAAAGGCATTGAGAAGAAAACATGGAGAAAGTCTAGCCTTATATCTCAGCTTCTCGATTCAAAACAAGCTGTCAAAAACCATCTACTGAAACCTCCTGATCTAACACTAAACAGTGTAAGCTTGCATTTTGGATATTTCTGTTTCTGAACTCTTGTTTCAGCCTCTTTGTGCTGAAGGCTCCTCACAGTTTACAGATAGTGGTGCAACTGAAGTGCTCCATTTTAACTGTAAATCATCATTGAAACTTTTAAACCAATCAGTTTTTGTTATTTCCATTGCTTTCTGCCTATTGTGGAAATTCAGAGTTCTCTAGACAGCTGCTGATTTTTCTTAGAGTGTTGCTCCATCAGAGTTCACACAGGTGCATTCAGTGAACCTGGGTCCATCTGACCATGCCACCTGCTAGTTGGGCTGTTCGAACACATCACGGGCTTTGTTTGGATGACAGAATAAATGGCATAGCAGGTACAGTGAAACAACCAAAATGAAGCATATATTATTTATGGAAGTAATCACAATCCTACTGAGATATATCCTGAACCGAGGTGCCTGCAGCTAATAAATAGAAACAAAGAAGTAATTGTTAATGTTTGTCTTGAAAACTTCTGGTTTGGGTGAATTTAAACTAGTTTTTTAATGTTGCTTCCATACAATCAAATAAAGTAAGAACTCCCCTTTGCCCTTTTACTTTCATTTCCCTGCGCCTTTGCGTACTTCATTTTCAAGCTGATATTGTGATCCAGAAGGACTGCACTATGTCAAGAGACTTGAATAAATTATGTCACAAAAGCTTTGAAAGCTACAGAGGAACAGCCTCAAAGTTAGGTGTTGGTTTAAAAGAAAGGCCCAGTAACTGAAGAGGCATTGCTGCTGACGTGCTTTTTTCTAGTGATTTTCTATTAGTAGGGAATCTTGATTAATGATTCTCTATCAGCATGTCCTGATTAATGTGCTAGTCAATGGATTGTTACATCATTTTATTTCCTCTTAAAGAGCATCCTTCTAATGTGAGTGCAATGGCTATTGGCTTTAAATGAACTGCTGCAAGCAATTTCTTTATCTGAATGGAGAAAATATTTTCACTTTCTAAAGGTTTGAATTCATAAACTATTTCTACCAAGTAACTACCTCTGTGAGCTTTTTGCATCTAAAAAAAAATAGTAACTTTGTAAAGCTGCTTGGAATGAGAAGAGGCTCTGTGGTAATGTTACTATTGTGTTTAAATTCTATGCTCTTTAACTGCATCAGGCTCTTAAAAAAAATACTGGGTTTAAAGCTCCAGCAAACTTGCTTGAAAATAATTTCAATGAATTAATATTTAATTTTTAGCTTTTCTTCTATGCTGCTGTAAAAAAGCAATGGCAGCCATTTTCTACAAAAGACTAAGGGCTTGCCAGTTTTTTTCAGGGTAAGAAAAAAAAGCCACAACTAAACACTAGTAAACTGATTATTTTTTGTAATTAGAATATTAATCTATATTTTTTCTCATTAACAATTAATGACATAAGAATATATTGATTGCTTCCGATCTGTTTGTTTGATGGGTTTTTTTTTCTATTCTCCTGCTATGAGGATAAAGTTTCCAATGGATAACCAAGATATAGTACTATCCAACCCACTATCAGTTTGATAGGGGAGGATCCTGGAAAGCTGGAAGTGTTTAAATGCTGTGTGATCTAGGAGAGCTGTATCGGTGATGAATTACCTGTGGTGCCCAAGCAGCACTGGCTTCTCCCCTCAAAGTTAAACCTTGTTGAGCTGCATGAAATTGGTGGAACTATCTCAGTGAGATATCATTTTGAAGGGAGAGGTGGCTTTATTTTAGAAAATCTGTAATTGAGTTGACTTTACTAGTTTGTTTTCTTACACTGGTGTGCTCACAGCACTGAAGTGCATGTCCAGGTGATCTGGCCAGCATCGCTTATGTGCTGGAGGCCAGGAGATGTCAGCAGCTGCATCCTCACCACTTCTCTTTGGTTCCTCTTGGGGGCAACAGATGGGTTTTAGGTATTCACCTCAGAATTTTGCTTACTTCAGCTTCTGCAAGTGCTAGGCAAATCTGCTGCCAGGTGTTCTTTCGCGTTTCTCAGGGCGGATGTGCTGGCAGGAGGAGACACATGGCATCACTGCCTGTGATGTTGCCTCTCTTGCTTGCTTACACTTCTGACCTACACAGCAGCCTGGTTTACAGGGTAATCAATTACACAGTTTTAATTCTGGATACCTAGCTTGAGAAAATATGCTAAATGCTTACTGGAAAAATTGAGGACCTAAAAATTACCTAGGATTAATCACCCAACAATGTGTCTGAAAGTGGAATTCTGTTTCTTTTAAAAAAACCCTAAATATATCCAGCCTCTGTTTGGTAAACATTAACTGTTGAAGTCAGGTGGTTCTTTCAATATCCCTGAGAAACCTGAGTTTAACTCCCAGGTTTCTCACAGAAATGGTTTAAAAGGGACTTTTGGGGGAAAAAAAAAAAGTACGTTTCTTAAAGCAATTAGCAATTTTTTTCTTTTTTTTTTTCATATTTA